TTCAGAGGTAGCAAGTATTGTAGACTACATAGGTTGTAGTTGGATTTTAATTCACATATATTGATTGGTCATAAGAATGAGGTTTAATGCATGCTTACTCCTGACATGATGTCTGGAAGAGGCTGCTATTTGTGGAACATTTGCACACTTTTGCTATGTGCTCATAGTTCTTGTCAACATTAGCTCACTCCAGAAACAAAGACTCAGGCCCTGATTGTACCAATCAGAGAAACAGTTATTTTTAGAAAATCAGTTTACCCCTATAAATGTAGACAAGGTGAAGAAATTAGGCTGAGAAATGCACTTTGAGCTTCTCTTCACTAAACAGCTGGCTTGCTGTGTGCTCTGCCCTGCCAGCTTTACAATACTGTCAATAAGACTTCTGATTTATTTTGTTAAGTTTCTCATTCGGTGTCAGATGATGTTTGATTTTTGAGTCAGCCTCACTTCAGGCTTTGCATTCCTGTGGCAGTGGGGAAAAGAGCAAGGGAAACAGAGGGTCTCCACATGGGGGGAACCTGAGATCCCTCAACTTCTCCATGATTCAACAAGTATGATTTTCCATACCACATATAGCACACACTAATAGGATCAAATTTCTCTTTCCCCAAGTCTATCCTATTTACCATTTTCAGGTGGATGTATTTTAGCCACCCTCCATATGATAGAACAGCAGTATTAGCTTTTCTGTGTTTTGTGTTTTCCCCTAATAGAATTTCCTCCATTTCACTCATTTTTCTTAAAAAGGCTGTGTTTGATTCTTTACGGCTGAAAAGCACCTCATTGTGTACAAACATCACACTGTCTTTGTCCATCCATTTATCAAAAGGCCTCAGCTTATTTTATACCTCAGCCATCGTGAATAAGACCCTAGTAATCATATATGCAGGATCACTTTAATTTGTTTTTTATTTTTTCTCATTGAATTTATTGGTACATTTTAGGTATACAGTACATTTACATTCATCATTGGGCTCTTGTACCTTTACATGACAGGTCTTGGTTCTCATTTTTCCCCTTACCCCTGTCATCCCTTCACCCCCTCCTCCATTCTCTATTTACAAAAACTTTATTTCCTGTTTTTCTTTCTCATATTTTCCTTTTCCCTTTTTTTCCCTTGCAGGATCATTATTATGTTTGATTTAATTTCATTTTATTATATACAAGAAGCTTCATAGCTGGACCAAATAAATGATGTGGTCAATGTGTTTTTAAGTGTCGATGGGTACATAAATCAAAACTGATGAGGAAACACAGATAAGAAATATACACATCACATTCCTGACAGTAGTAGTTGTGTGGATAAAAATGTACAGGAAAAGAAAGTAATGCTGATAGCAAGAACTCAAATTTCACAGATGATAATTCATGTGATAAAACATTAGACCTGTGGCACATATTATCAATTTTTATATTTTGAATAGGCAAAATGCATTATTTATATCAGTGATTATTGATATTAGTAATAGATAATATTAATGAAGCATTTTCTAAATGTCAGGTAATATTCTAAGGCAGTGTTTCTCAACCTGTTGTGAGAAAGGACCTCCAAAAACATCATGAGCAGATATTCAGATTAAATTTTTTTGGTCTGAGGACAAGTTATCTGAATATTTAAAATATCTATAGGTAAATATATTGATTAATGAGGCTGAGAGCACTAGGTCTAAATTTTTTTCTTACAATTTATCTGTAATGTAGATAATTATTGGTCCCATTTTACAAATAAGGACACTGCCTAGGAAAGAAAGCTTACAGTATTTCTCAAATTATTCATTTTTATTTTTTTTTGCTTAACTTTGGATGAGGGAACAGAATATGAACCCAAGTTACATTCAGGTAGCTGAAGTATGAAAACTGTAATTTCTGTATCAGGAAGGATTGATGTGAAAACTCGTTATTAAGCTATAATAATTTTGGTACTGAAACTTAGATTTGGGGCTTTCTCTGTATCTAAAGTTCTCAAGCACACATAGGAGGGCTCATAGTCAGAAAATTTGAAAGAAAGCAGTATTAGCAGAACACTCTGTAATGCAGAACAACAATAAATAGTCAAAGAGCAAAGTTGTCCTTTTCTTTCTTCCTTCTGCCATCCTCCATCCCTCTACCTTCCACCCTTCCTTCCTTCCATCCTTCCTGTCTTTCTTTCTTTCTTTCTTTCTTTCTTTCTTTCTTTCTTTCTTTCTTTCTTTCTTTCTTTCTTTCTTTCTTTCTTTCTTTCTTTCTTTCTTTCTTTCTTTCTCTATCTCTCCCACCCTCCATTCCTTCTTTCCTTCCTTCCATCTTTGCTTCTTTTCTCTTTCTTTTTTTCTTTGAACCAAACCTACAGACTTTGTACTGAACTAGACCCCCTTCTTTCTTTTATTTTTTTAATTTTTAGAGACATGAGTTTCTACGTTACAAAGGCTGGGTTTTAACTTGGGATCCTCCTGCCTCTGTCTCTTTGAGTGATGAGAATAAAGTTTTTCTCACCAACACCCAGTGAAAGGCACTTTCTACATCAGATATTTATGAGATTTTATGGAGATGATGCAAAGAAATCTGTATAAAATATAGAATTTTAATCACTATTTTACAATTCATTATTTTAAATCATTGACGTGCAGTGCACACTGTTATTTTGTTTGTGATCCATGAACTCATCAAACTATGTCCATTTAACTAGACCATGTTTATCAAAAGTTGTAGTACCAAACTTAAGAATAGGAGATATATATTGAATGGCTTTAAAAAGATAACTATAGATGCTCTGTTTTTGACTGTGTCTCACTGAAACATTATTGAAACCTACAACATTGCCTAATTATGAAATATAACCATTAAGTTAATGCTTAAATAATGCAGTAACAATTTTATAAATTACTCCTAAATATTTGAACTAAACAGAATTTGGGCTACTCTCTTAGAATAACATAAACTATGTGCTACATCATCTTTTCTGTATTTTCTGATTCTTCCTTACTATAGGAAAGTAATTTCTTAAGATCTGCTTATTCTGAAGAGTTAGCTGTACTTTACAGTGTCCATGGACTTGCTATCACCAACATTCTTGGGCTTGTGTCAGTACTTCACTGAGTGATTCTGAAATAGGTGTGCCCAGAAGATAAATAACTCAGAAAACAATCATGTAAGAGACATAAGTAGCTTCAGTCAGATATAACTGAAAACTACTGATGAAGGTTTATGGATGTCACATGTGTATAGATCAATTGTGAATACTTGAATGAAACCAAGAGAGTTAAGGGTGGCCCTTCTTTTCTATCTTCTCTTCTTTCTCAAAAGGCTCCTATGCAACCTAGGTTAAGAAAAAGTCTAACATGTCACAAAGTCCCAGCTTATGGGTCTCTCTGAAACCCATTCTAGCGAGACTTTTCAGATTCATGTAACTCCTTGTAGTGCTTGGAAATTTGCTCTTCACCCAGGCCATCAGACCTGAATGTCACCCCCTCTTTCCCATGTACTTTATCTCCAACTTGTGCTTGGCTGACATCTGAGTTTCATCTCTCCCACAATTTCTAAAGATGATTATGTACACCACAACTCACAGCAGGTTTATCGCCTATGTAGGATGCCTGACACAGATGTGTTTTTAATGCTTTTGGAGGTATGGATGATGTGATTAGGATTGTGATGACTTATGACTGTTTTGTGGCATCTGTCACTCCTGCATTACTCAGTCATCATGGAACTCAACTCTGAGTCTTCTTAAGTTTGGTGTCTTTTGTGATTACCTCCTGGACTCTCCTACCTGCATAATTTTGTTGCCTTATACTTTACCTAATTCAAGCTTGTAGATATTTCTTATTTCTTTTTCACACTTCTTAAACTTTCTTTTGTCTTCTTACACCTTACCAAGGAATATTGACCAATATTTTATTGGAGCCACATTTGGTATCTTTTCCCATCACAGGGATCCTTTTCTTTTACTACAAAAGTGTTTTCTCCATTGTGAGAATCAATCAACAGGTTGGAAGTACAAAGCCTTCTCCAACCTTGAATCACACTTGTTTGTTGCAGGCTTTTATCTTATGGAACAAACATTGGAACCTACCATGGTTCAAATGTATTATATTATCTGAAAACTTGTTTTTGCACTCAGTCGTTTACATTAATCTCAGTCTGATGTTGAATCCCTACTTTGGCAATCTGAGAAATGGAATATTAAGAACATCCTGACTGGATAAAGTAATCTTTATAAAAACATATAAAATGGAGTAATACTCAGCCATAAATAATGAGAAACTAGAGACATTTATAGCTAAGTGGAAGTACAGTGGAACCATAATATTAAGTGAAGTTAATTGGACATACCTGTATAAATACCTAATAGTTCTCTCTGGTATGAAAAACTAAAAGGATAAATAAGTATAAAAATGAAATAATTGATATTGTGTACTAGAAAGAAAATGTCAAAAGGAGTAGGGAAGTATGAGCGGTACTTGAAAGTTAAGAAAGGAAGTGAAAAAATATGAGAAAAAAATAGACAAAAAGTCTTTGTAAGTAGGGAAGAGTGGAGGGGATTAAGAGAGGGCAGCAGAATGGAGAAAAATAACCAAGATATGTCATGTAAGACACAAAATCCCAATGATGAATGAAACTTTATTGTACACCTAAAATGTAGCAATACACTTAATAAAAATTTAAAAAATTCTGTTGTAATAAAAACAGATATAAAAATCTGGTGGGTATTGATACAAACAAATAACAGTAATAAATAGTACATATGTGCTTCCTCTTGATTTGAGGAATAGTTACCAAACATTTGATGACTTTCATCATTCCTTGCTCTTTTGCCATGAATGTTAGGAAGTCCGTAGAGACTGGCTACATATAGACCAGACTGGCTCTTATGATCTTTGTGCTTTGAGTCCTTAAGGATATATAACAGTGACTGTCTTGTGTCTCCAGACCTTCAGTGCAATTCGAACCACACCTTTGTGTTTTCCTCCATCATACTCTGGATTGGGAGACACTTATCTGACTGAGCATTTGTGTTGACTATGAGGAAAGATACCATGTCTTCATTCAGAACCAAGACATTGAATCTAAAGACTTTTGCCATTGCTCAGCAGAGCAACAGCAGAAAGCTGTAAGTGCTGAGGGACACAATAGTTGAAAGAGGGACTGTCCATCAGGGACCATTGCTTTCCCAGAAGCAGGACCATCATGCAAATTGGGAAGCTGAATGGGAGTATAGAGATGTGCAAAAAATTAACAATAAGGCCTGTCATTTTTGGAAGAAGTCCCTTTCTCACTGTAAATTCCTCTTTGAGGGGGCACTGCAGATATCAGTTTGTGGCAGCAGCTGTGTCAGATAAAGGAAGCATGGCCATGTTCAGAGCCAATTGTCAGAGAAAGAGCAGTCACTGAAAATTCAGCACAGATCGTGATTTTCTGTACTAGGGAGCATCCTTCTGGCTGTCCATATCATTTTGAAATTTTTTATCTGCTCACTCAATCTCAAAAGCACATGCAAAGTCAGGTCTTACTTTCCTTCATACTCTGGAAATTGAAAATAGTTTAAAATTGTATCTACAGTTAAGACTACAGTCTTAACTGTCTGCTTATTTAGGGTAGTTTACCCACAGTCTGAAATTTTAATTTATTTATTTAGACTCCAGGATTTATCTCTTGAACACAGGGAAGTTTGTTAGGATTTCTAAACCATTATTTTATGTGAGTGGAATTCTAGTTCATACAACTGCATTGATTTTGAATGAAACAGAGAATCAATGTTTTCTCTAATATTAACATGTGATGAGTACAAACTCAGAGGAAATAGAAGTTAGTTATTCACCACAGTAAAAATTATCTCACATCATTCAACTAAATTATCGTGTGACTTGAAATTATTGTTTTCTTATTTTATTGCATCAATAATATTCAGTAATCCAAAAAGCATGTCAGAGATGTTCATAAGTACAGAGAAAGCAAAAGAGACAAAAAGAGGAGAGGTCATGCAAGCTTTACTGTTCTAGCTGACACATGTTAGACACATTATAACCTTTCACATCATTCCAAGGCTTCAGAGAACTATTTTGCAATCATATGCACAAATAATTGTGTGCACCACTTCTCGGTAAATATGTTGATTAGTTAGGTTTAGCTTAATCAGAGCATCTGAATATTTAAAAAGTCTGCAGTTTGATACATTGATCTGTGAAACAAAATCACTTTTCTATGCATGTAACTATTTTTGTTGTTTCTTTTTTTCTGTGTTTGTTTTTGTTTTGTGGTGATGTGGATCAATCATATGGTCTTGTACATGGCAGACAAGTCCTCTACCACCCAGCTATATCCCACCACTGTGAGTCTTCATGTTGCTTTCAAACAGCTGCATAAGTAAACACTTATTGTTGCTGTATTGTAATAGACAAAACTACCAAATATGTTTCTTATTTCCTTTACTTTCCTCTTTTGCATTGCTTCCAAATTGTATCACACTGTGAACTAAAAAATAATGAACTCCATTTCCCCTGAGGTAGAAGAAACAAGAGCCTTATAACCCAACTTTTAGGGAAGATGTATTTGAAAGTCTATTAACCAGGGATAGGACAAAGGTGAGGTCTCAAAACTGGGCATTGGTACTGACAATGGAGCTAAAGTCCTTCATTTTCAGGGAGATGATTTGTGATCTGAAAAGCAATGCAAGAGCAGTCCCAGATTCCTTAAGAATATAGATTAGTGGGTACGAGAAAGGAAAGAGGGAAATAGAATTAACATGACAAAAAGAAAAAAAAGGAAAGAGTGTTTGTAAATAGGGATGGGTGGAGGGTTTGAAGGAATGCAAGTGGAAGTGGGAAAATATGAATCATATGTATTATTTAAAGGTACAAATCTCCAATGATGAATGTCATTATATTGTATATCTAAAATGTACTCCCCCAAAGAATATTGTTTAATGAAATAAAAAAATCACATATCTTTCTTCACAGCTTAAATCTTAGCAATATATGGCCTTGACAAAAATAAACTTGTGGAAGACAACAAGTTTTAAAAAGTGTTTCTTAACATTTCATTACTTTTAAGGGGAAGGGCTGAGGATTGACTCCAACATTACACATGCAGCTATATTTTATTTTAAAATTTGAGAAAGGGCCATGCTATATCAATGTTTCCTAGATTAGGTTCAAACTTTCAATCCTCACAGAATGCTGGAATCATGGGCATGTGCCCCCATGCCTAGCTATGTTTATTCCTTTAATTCATGGACTTGTGCCTGGGATTTAGCTCAGTGGTGCTACCAGCTGTTTCAAAAGTGCAAGGTCCCAATTCAACTCCTGCTACACACACACACACACACACACACACACATATACACACACACACTGATTTTTGCACTATACACTAATGCCACATTTGTGGTTAGTGATGTGATTGTGTGCATTCAAAGAAACAAAGTTTGTAAAATTTTCACAAAATCCAAGGCTACAAATTGTACTTCTTAAAAGGTAACCTTCATTTGAGTGAAACTACCTTTGAGTGAAAACTTACTTGCATGAAAGAGAGAAAACAGGAATCCAAGAATGACAAAAAAACTTCCTGGCAAAAGCAGGCATGAACCTATACTTAGAAATGAACCATCATGTCAGTTTGGTGATAATATGATGCAGCCCTAATTTTTGTGGACTAATTGTAGATATATTAAGTAAAGGAATAATGTACCTTGGTGTTAGATAAATGTAAGTTTGAATGATTTAAATTGCCATTAAAATATTTTTCTGAAAAGGGACAGGTTAATATTTACTCTTTATTTATTTATGTATTTTTTGTACCAGGGATTGAACTTGGGACCTTGCATGAGGTAGGCAGTGAAAACACTCAGCTAAATCTCTGGCCCCATTTACTATTTATTTTATATTAAAAGTGGTGGCTGTATTTTGCTGTGATAATGGACTTCACTGGTAATATATTTTGGCTATAATACTGTTGAATTCATCTAAAGCGGGTAAGTATGGAAGGAAGAGAATAACACAAATAACAATAAGGAAAATTTCCCAGGGGAACTAGTTTTATCACAACTGAGAAATACTTCTGAAGGTATATGGATTGCAAGTGTGAATAATTTATGTTTGAATACATGAATTCAAAATACATTCACAATATAGTGTACTTGTTTATGAGCCTCTTTTCTTCCAACTTTTTTTTTTCTTCCAAAGGTGTTCAAGCAACATAAAAGCAGAAAATCTAACACAGATCTCTGAATTTCATCTCCTGGGCTTCTCAGAGGACCCAGACATGCAGCCTGTCCTCTTTGGACTGTTCCTGTTTATGTACCTGCTCACAGTGCTTGGGAACCTGCTCATCATCCTGGTTGTCAGCTCTGACTCCCACCTCCACACCCCCATGTACTTCTTCCTCTCCAACCTGTCCTTGGCTGACATCTGTTCAGTCTCCACCACAATACCAAAAATGATTGTGGACATCGTAACTCACAGCAGGGTCATCTCCTATGTGGGCTGCCTCACACAGATGTCTCTGTTTATTATATTTATATGTATGGATGATATGCTTCTGACTGTGATGGCCTATGACCGGTTTGTGGCCATCTGTCACCCCCTGCAGTATCCAGTCATTATGAATACTCGACACTGTGGCGTCTTAGTTCTGCTGTCTTTTTTGTTTAGTCTCTTGGACTCTCAGCTCCACAATTTGACTGTTTTACAATTTACCTACCTCAAGGATGTGCTCATTTCCAATTTCTTCTGTAACCCTGCTCAACTCCTTAATCTTGACTCTTCTGAAAACTTTTTCAGCAACATTTTAAAGTATATTATTGCTGTGTTATTTGGACTTTTTCCCATCTCAGGGATATTTTTATCTTACTATAAAATTATTTATTCCATTCTGAGAATCCCATCACCAGGAGGGAAGTTTAAAGCCTTCTCCACCTGTGGAACTCATCTCTCAGTTGTTGGCTTATTTTATGGAACAAGCATTGGTGTGTACTTTGGTTCATCTGTATCACAATCTCCCACATCTTGTTTGGTGGCCTCTGTCATTTACACCTTGGTCACCCCAATGCTAAATCCATTCATCTACAGCCTGAAGAACAGGGACATCAAAATTAGCTTGAGCAGACTCCACTGTAGAAAATTGTAATATTAGGACCTGTGGTATCCAGTAAAATATATATACAAGACAGCAAAATTAAACATTTATACCTGTATATTCCACTTCTATAATCACACTGGTTTTTTTGGCATTCAATGATTTAAAAATTTCTCCACATATTTAGCGTAGTAAAAGAGTGGTAGTCATTGTTTGAGAATGGGAATTATTGGGACATTTAATGAGAGAAAAGATTTTTTTGTGAAAATGAACAATTTCTTTTAGTGCAGTTTGGTGTTAGATGTACTATAATGTGAGTATAATTAATGCCAAAGATATCTGCACTTCAAAATCCTGAATATTGTACATTTTTATAAAAAACTGTACCACAATAAAAATGAAAACAGAGAAAAGATACATTCTGAAAAGAATGGAATATAAAACAAAGCTTCATTTCATTATTGGATGAACCCCCCAATTTAGTGCAGATTTTTTTCTTTATTCTCCCATTAATATTAGAAAGTCCTTATAGTTTGTGATGGACCAATCAGAGCTCTATGCATTGACTCTCCAAGTTTATATAATAGTCAATATTCAATCCATGATCCAGAAGTTGTTTGATGGCTACGTACCTGCAGGCCTCATACCTATGTTTCTTCCTCCCACTGCTCTCTGTGTATGAAACCTCCTGTGTGAGACGGTGTGCAAGTCTATCCTGAGAACAGAGCAAGGGATTTCATTGGGAAAGAGGTACGGAAAGGACACTGGATTTTCTATCTTTTCATGAAACTGCAGAAAAGTATCCCAAAGCACTACATGGTGAAATACATGAAGGATGGAGGATGAACTATCAGGATCATTGAATGTCCATAATCAGGACAACCATTCTGTCTGGGTAGCAAACTGGGTAAAATTTTAGCCTTGAGTTCTATATAATTAATCTATACAATTGTGGCTGGAATTATAGAAGTCTCATCACAGGTTGTGACTTCCTCCCACATTGTTTTTTTTTCAGCTTTAATTGAGGTTATTGGTAAATTTTAGGGATAAAGTACATTTACATTCATTGTTGGGATCTTGTACCTCTACATGACAAGTCTTGGTTCTCATTTTTTCCCCTTGTCCCTGCCCTTCCTTCACACCCTCCTCCCTTCCTAAACTACAAGCATTTTATTTACATCTTTTCTATATCTCACATTTTTTTCTTTTCCCTTATTACACTTCCCCTATCCATCCTACTTACCCTACACCTTTAGCCGCTTTCTTCCCATTTCACCATGTGAGTAATCCTATTAGGATCTTAGGTATTATTGCAGTTTATTCACACCAGAGAAACTATCCATTACTTACACATGTGTGACTTATTTATTTCACTTAGAAGTATGTCTTCAATATGTATCCATTTTCCGATGAAAGAGAGTATTTTCTCTTTCTTTATGACTGATTAATATTACATTTTAGAGAAAAACCACATCTTCTTTATCCAGCTTCAAACTGATGGGCAAATGGGCTGTTTCCAAGTTTTAGCTATTACAAACTGTGCTGCTAGAAACATGGGTGAACATACATCACTGTGATAAGATTCTTTTAGTTCCTTTGGAAAGATACCCAGCAGAGGGATGGCTGGGTCAAATGGAAGCTCCAGTCCAAGCTCTTTGAGGTATCTCCATATTGATTTCCATAGCGGTTGAACCAGTCTACACTCCCACCAACAATGGAGAAGGGTTCCTTTCTCCCCACAACCCCACCAACATTTGTTATTGTGTGATTTCTTGATAGCAGCCATTCTTTGTGTGGTGAGATGGAATCTCAGTGTTGTTTGCATTTGCATCTCTCGAATGACCAGTGATGTGGAACATTTTTTCACATATTTACTTGATGCTTTTACTTCTTTGTCTGAGAAATGTGTGTTCATTTCGGATGCCCATTTTTGAATCGGGTCTTTATATTTGGAGGACTGATTGTTTTGAGTTTTGCATATATTCTAGGTAGTAGGCCTTTGTCTGAGGAGCAGCTGGTAAAATTTTTTCCCACATTGTAGGTTGTCTCTTAGTTCTGCTCATGGTTCTTTTTGCAGTGCAGAAGCTTTTTAATAAGATGAGGTCCCAGCTGTTGATTCTATCTACTAGTTCCCATGCTACTGAGGATTTGTTCATAAAGTCTTTTCCTATGCCAATATCTTCCAGAGTTCTGCCTAACTTACCTTCGAGCACGTTTAATGTTTCTATTTTAATATTTAGATCTTTAATCCACTTGGATTTTAATTTATTGCACAGTGAAAGATAAGGGTCCAGTTTTAATCTGTGGGAGGTTGGAATCCAGTTTATCCAACACCATTTATTAAAGAGGCTATCTTTCCTCCAGTGGGGATGGTCAGCTCCTTTGTCAAAGATGAGGTAGCTGAGTATATCTGGATTTGTTTTTGTGTCTTCCTCTCTGTTTCCCTGATCCTCAGGCCTGTTTCCTTGCCAGTACTGTCGCTTTGTAGTATAGATTCAAGTTGGGAATTGTTAGACCCACTGCCGTGTGTCTGTTGCTTAGGATGGCTTTTGCTGTTCAAGATCTCTTATGGTTCGAAATGAATATTTGGATTCTTTTATCTAGTTCTGTGAAATATAGTGTTGGAATTTCGTTTGGCATTGCAATGAATCTGTACAGCAGTTTTGGTAGTATGGCCATTTTCACTATGTTGATTCTTCCTACCCAGGAGCAGGGGATGTATTTTCATTTTTTTATATCCTCTTCAATTTCTTTTTTCAGAGTGCTATAGTTTTCAGTGTAGGGATCTTTTGCTTCTTTTCTTGGATTGATTCTGAGACACTTCATTTTTTTGGATGCTATTGTAAAAGGAATTTTTTCCCTAATTTCTCTCTCAGTGAGTCTGCTATTTGTCTATAAGAAGGCTATTGATTTTTGAGTGTTCACCTTGTATCCAGGTACTCAGCTGAATCTGTCAATTAAGTCTAGAAGTCTTTTGGTGGAGTTTTTTGGGTCGTCAATGTAGAGTATCATATCATCAGCAAATAAGGACAGTTTAACTTCTTCCTTTCCTATCTTTGTTGCTTTAATTTCTTTCTCTTGTCTGACTGCCGTGACTAATGTTTTCAGCTCTATATTAAAGAGGAGTGTTGATAGTGGGCATCTTTTTCTTGTTCCTGATTTTAACGTGAAGGTTTTCAGATTTTTGTCATTTAATATGATGTTGGCTGTTCATTTTTCATAGATAACCTTTATTAAGTTGAGATATAGACCATCTATTCCAATTTTTTACAGTATTTTTATCATGAATGGGTATTGAATTTTATCAAATGCTTTTTCTGCATCTATTGAGAGGGTCGTATGGTTTTTGTCCTTTACTTTGTTAATATAATGCATTACATTTATTGACTTTCGTACGTTGAACCACCCTTGCATCCCTGGAGTAAATCCGATTTAGTCAGGATGTATGTTCATTTGATAATGCTCTGTATTCTATTTGCTAGTATCTTATTAAGGATTTTTGCATCTATATTCATTAAGGAGATTGGCCTGTAGTTCTCTTTTTTAGTTGGGTGTTTCCCTGGTTTGGGAATCAAAGTGATACTTGCTTCCAGGAATGAATTTGGGAGTATAGCTATCCTTTCAATTTCATTGAAAAGTTTGAAGAGTAATAGCAGTACTTCTTCTCTAAATGTCCTATAAAATTCAGCAGTGAATCCATCAGGGCCTGGGATTTTCTTTGTTGGTAAATTTTCAATTACTTTTTCAATTTCACTGACCATAATAGGGGTGTTTATAATGTTTTTATCTTCTTTGTTCAAATTTGGTAATTCGTAAGTATCTAAAAATCTGTCCATTTCTTCTGTGTTTTCCATTTTATTGGAGTTCAGGTTCTCAAAGTAGGTATTATTGATCCTCTGGGTTTCTTTTGGATTTGTTGTGACTTCACCTTTTTCATTCCTGATTGCATGGATCTGAGCCATTTCTTTTCTTTTTTGATAAAATTAGCTAAGAGTTTGTCAATTTTATTTTTTCTTTCAAAAAACCAGTTCTTTGTTTCATTTATTTTTTGGATCATTCTCTTAATTTCCACTGCATTGATTTTTTCTCAGATCTTCATAATTTCCTCTCTTGTATAAGCTTTGAGTTTTTCTTGCTCTTGTTTTATAGGAGTCTAAGTTTCACCATTAGGTTGTTTATTTGAGCCTACTCTGTTTTCCTATTGTGGGCATTCAATGTCATGAATTTTCCCCGTAGAAATGCTTTCATTGTGTCCCATAGATTCCTGTATGTTGTATTGGCATTTTCATTTATTTGTAAAAACTGTCTACTTTCTTCTTTAATTTCCTCTGTAATCCATTGTTTGTTCAGGAGAGTGTTGTTCAGTTTTCATGTGCTTATTTAGTTACTAAAGCTTCTTTTGCTATTGGTCTCCAGCTTGAATGCACTATGTTCTGATAATATACAGAGGATGACTTCAATTCTTTTGCATTTATTCAGACCTGTTCTGTGAGCCAATATGTGATCTGTCTTGGAGAATGATCCATGTGCAGCTGAAAAGAATGTATATTCTGATTTCTTGGGGTGGAATACTCTGTAGACATCTGTTAAGTCCATGTGTTCCAAAGCTTGGTTCAGTTCTATTATTTCATTGTTGATTTTCTGCTTAGATGATCTTTCCATTTGTGATAGTGGGGAATTTAGATCCCCCACTAAAATTGTATTAGTGCTTATTTGGTTTTTCATGTTACTTAATATTTGTTTTATATAGTTGGGGGCATTTATACTTGGTGCATATATGTTCATGATTTTCATCTCTTCCTCTTGAATTGTTCCTTTTACAAGTATGTAGTGGCCTTCTTTGTCTCTCTTAATGAGTTTTGGTTTGAAATTTACTTTGTCTGTGAATAAGATTGCTACCCCTCCTTTTTTCTGTGCTCCTGACATGTGGATAGTTATTTCCCATCCTTTCACTTTCAGTCTATAGGCTTCCTTTTGCACTAGGTGTGTTTCTTGTATACAACATATTATTGGATTTTGCTTCTTAATACATTCTGCCCGTCTATTTCTCT